TTCCCTAAGTTAATAAGCCGAACACGAACAACACGAATAAATATTTGTTCTTTGGAGCATGAAAACTTGGTACAAAGGTGTCCTATATAACAATATAGAAAATATTATAATTCACGGTTAATTAATAAAAAATCATAGGCTTAATTAACAATTAATTTAAGACCTAATAATAATGCTATTAGCTGATAAAGAATTACCATGGCCTACATTAACTATCGTGTAAATAGTAGCTTACAAGGCTGTCAAAACGTGTTCGGCTCGTCAAGAAGCTCGTGTTCGGCTCATTCCCTAAGTTAATAATGTTTTGCTCGTTAATAAACTAGCGTTCGGCTCGTTTTGGCTCGAAATACTACTAATTAATTATATATATTTGATGATTAGTATTTTTAAAAATTTTAATTAACTACAAGACTAGAAAGATTTATAATCAATTAAAATTATTAATTAAGAAAATAAAATAAAAATTATTAATTTAGATTCAAATGATGTTTTTAGATTCAAATAATGTTTTAAATCTTACCCCAATCTTTAACATCTGATGACTACGTGATTAGAGTTGTTAAAATAACTCTTTGTTCGTGAACGACTCGCTAAGCAAATGAGTCGAACACGAATACACTTTTTGAGCTCGAAATATAAACGAGCCGAAACGAGCTGAGCCCGAGCTTGCTCGTGTTCGGCTCGTTTACACCCCTAATTACAAGATATGCATATATATTATTTTTTTCACTTGAAATAGAAATTTATAATGCGGTCATAAGCCTTCATGTTTTATATAAATATTTTTAAAATATTTTTTGTCTTCAAAATTAATATGAATAAAAACCTTTATTTATTTTTTTGCTAGCCAAAATTAGTCTTATGAGAATTTTATTATTTCTTAATTATATTTTTTATTAATTATTTTTTAAAGGAACGGGCTCATGAGCCATCCAGTCAAGAGGGGGGATGTCTAGAGCTTACTTAGATTATTAGCTCATCAAGCTCGGTTCATGGGCCACTTACCAGTTGAGCTTGCCCGAGCCGGCTCACGAGCCGACTTGGAAGCACATTTTGGCAAATTAATTAAAATAGCAAAAAGTCTGACATCCATTAAGGGCCTGTTTGGGTCAGTTTATAAGTGTGGGGGCGTTTTTTAAAACGTCGCGGTACCGTTTGGTTCGTGTGTTTTATCCGCTTATCCGAAAACACTATTTTTTTATGTGATACAAAAGAATTGAGTGGTGTGCATATAAATATAAAAGTTTTAGTGTGAATCATGTAAAACCATCAGAATTGAGTGCTATGCATGTAAATGCCCCAAAAATTTTTTAAAGATTTACATATATACCACTTAATTTCAACGAGGGAGAATCCCAACGAAAGTTAAGTCTTCGGAAATCTCTAGTGGCATGTCCCAATCCATGATGATATTAACAATAAGAATTAGTCAAAAGTTAACCACTTCTTCAACCATCCTAACTATGGTTTAAAACTTAACTCTCCCTCTATATTAAATAAAAATACATAGCTATAAAAAGACATCTAGAATGTTAAAAGCAAGGAAGATTTGCGTACACACCAAAAAAATTCTTCTATAATTACATATTTACACCTAACCTTCAATTTTTACATATATGTTAATATGAAAAAATTATTTCATACAGACACCACATGCAGAGATACATGTGGTGTCCGACCACACCGTCGATCACTGATCTCCACCGTTGATCAAAAAAAATTTTCTTTTTTTTTAAAAGTTAAAAACGGGGCCCACCGAAATACATCTTATCGGTAATCAACGGTGTAGATCGGACAACGCATGCATCTTTGCATGTGGTGTCTGTATGAAATAATTTTTGGTTAATATGTCATCTTATCGATAAATGAAAAGATTTATTTTATATTTTATTTATAAAATACTGTTTTAAACTTTATAAAAATAGGTTATAGTGCTATCTTCTATGTGATATTAAAGATTTATATTTGTAAAAAATAATGCTTGTATATTATATATGTAAATACATCGGAATTGTGTGTCATTTATGTAAATGCCCTACATTTAATTACTTATATTGCATCAGAATATTTGATTTTTTTGTTCTTACAAATTTACCACTTGAGAGTTATGATATCTTACCCTCCAACGGCGATTAGAACGAACCGAATAATCAAGTGGAGTCCTATCTTCTGCGGCCAATTTTTCCTGCGCAAGTTGAGGGAATAATTATTCAGTTTTATAAATACATCATTATTATCATATGTTTTTTTTTTTTTCAAGATTAGTATGAGGGCGAGCGTATGCAGCGCTGCATAAGTCAGAGAGGTTATTCAGAGGATATTGAGGGCTTATATCTGCGCTATACTCTCTGTAACCTCACAGTAACCTACAAATATATGAAAACAGAAGCACATAACTTACTAGAAGGTACATGTACATTACAGGGAGGTTACAGGGGATATAACGCAGATATAACCCCCAATACCCTCTGAATAACCTTCCTGACGTACGCAAATTTTTCTACGCCAACCAACCCCATGTGATTTATTCGAGATGTGGTTCAAACTCGTGTTCTTCGGAGTCTTACAAATGCCAATGAATCACCGTGTAGTCACGATTGTACTACGATATTGTTGTTAAGGTATGGAGTACCTTTTTGCCTATGATAATTTAAGAAAAATTAAGACATATTTTTATGTAGTTATAATAATACAATTTGAGCTTTTTTTTAATTTTATTAGATGTTCATAAATTGAGTTAATTGAAGGTTAATAATACTAACAATAATAATAATTAGCACGCCCAATATTATTTCAAGATAATCTTAAATAAAAAGGGCCCCAATGTTCTCATATATTATTTTAAGCACAAAACCAATTAAAAAAAACCCATTTTTTTTCTTCAGAGCTCAAAATGAGCACCTTTCAAAGAGAATAGCGCAGGGAAGGAGAAGAAAGGCATTGAAGAAGCCGGCGGCGGCGATTTGGAAGAGAGGTTGGAGGCCGCCGGCAAGAAGTCCGGAGAGAAAGACTGTGTTGAAGCCGAAGACCATTTGTGCGGCGATCAAGCTGGCAACGACCATGGCTTCCGTCCACCTTCCGCCGCCATTAACCTCCGAGCTCACAACCATCTTCTCTATCGCAGAGACAGAGATAGAGATGTGTAGGAGTAATTAGGAGAATATGAAGGAGAAGGAGAAAGGGAGGTGGGAGCCCTGAGTTCTGAAGAAGGGGAGAGTTGAGGATTTAAGGACAAATGTAGGAGAAGGAGAAGCATGGTGGGAGGTAAGTTTTAACCGTTGCATGCGATAACAACCAAAAGTGTGGGAAATGGGTGGCAAATTTAATATTTTTATTTTGGAAGAGTTTGCATGCATGAGCCACACCTTTTTTATGTATGTTAGGTATGACTCATTAATCATATAAGAGAAAAATGCTGTAACAAAGTGGAGTAGAGCGGAAGAATCTGTCAACTCAGGGAAGTTTCGGTATGTGGGTTTGGAGTGCAGGGGCGTTGTACGGTATAAGGGTAATTTTGTAATTACATATTATACTTCAAGGTTTACTCTAGGACTATATATATGCTTGTTTGTAACCCTAGGGAGTATCCTATATTCTGTAACCTTTTTTTAGGAGTTGAAAGAAAACCGCCGCTCTGCTCCCGATGACGTAGACATCTTTGTCGAACATCGTTAAATCTCTCTGTGTGTTCTTCTGGATTTATGCCGATTCTTGTTTTTCTTCGTCCTCAACAATATATTTACATTTAAGCTTGAAATTCGGATTAATAGCACTTTATAAATTATATTAATATATGGTGATATTTTCTTAGATGATACGAATCGTTTGAAAATGTTTGATATGTAGAGAATAAAGTGCAAGAAATGGTAAAATTATATATTTATTTTTAGCAAGTTCTTAATTAATATGTTCACATATGGGGAAAGAAATTATGAATCCTTTTAGAATAATGACACTTGTCACCAAGTAGTTTAAATCATATATTTTGGCTTGATCTAGAATTTGTATGAAAAAGGGGTCTTTTTTTATTTTATAGAAAGACTTTAAATTGGAAGTGTTTCACTCAATTAAGTTTCTAATTATTGCGTAAAAAATTAAAAAATTTGAAGATATCCACAAAATTATGAAGAGAAAATAATGAATTTTGAAGACATTATATAAAATTCAAGGCATGGATATAAAAGCTCAAATATTTATGTTTTGCCCACAAATATGT